TTAAAACAACAATTACGATATTATCGCAGACCATACATATCGCACACCCCTATGTTTAGATTTTTATAATGCATTGTCTTCTTATCGATCCACCAGTTCACATTTAAAGCTCTGCGTGTTTGCAGGGTAAAAACATGGGTCGATTTTTGCATTGCTCTGAACTCTGAACAAAACAACAGTTTTATTGAAAATGCTCATTCATTCTCTGCCAGCAGGTAGAGCCTTTGGTAGAAATATAACTGTTTTCCCGGTAACGGCAGAACACAAAGCAGCGAAGCACCGGACTCTGAACTAAATGTAAGACTTTTTAAGACCCTTTTTAAGAAACCCTGTGTATGAAAAAGCACTGTCTAACTGAAATCATAAGCATATTATTATTAGTCATATCACTAAAGTTCAAACAAATGTAAACATCAAAATATGCACATTTAAAATTATTTTGGAGAGCTGGCTCCCAAGAACATACTTAAGTAACCAACATTACACTGACCACAACTACTGCAAGTCACAAGTTCATGCAAAAAAATAAAAAAATAAAATAAAAAGGCACACAAACGAAAATGGTCAAAAAAAAAGAAGAAAAAAAGAGACTAGATTCATTATGTGCCGACAGCAATAAAGTCACAATCTACATAAAAGCACCCTGAATTGACCTATGCTATCATTTTCTCCAAAAGATTTGCTGAGACTGTAGTTTTGAAGTATTGCAGTGTTCAGAGTTTTACCTGTGCTGTGGGAGGCTGAAGTCTGCGAATGATCACCAGAGGCAGTGAGTAGAATTTGGAGCTGTGGTGTGAGAGCGAATAGAGCACTTTTTCAGAACAGATCTGAATACACAACTCTGTGGGAAATCGGACCACGGATATTAACTATTCAACCTGAACAGCATCAACATTCACATTTCTTAAAGTAAATATATCAGTTTAGCACAAATATACACTACAGGCCAAAGGTTTGGAACAATTTAAGGTTTTTAAAATGTTCTTAAAACAGTAATATTGTAAAATATTGTTACAATTTAAAATTGTATTTATAATTACTTAATAAATGTAATTTATTCCTGTGATGGAAAGAATTTATTTGGAATAGAAATCTTTTGTAACATTATACATGTTTATACTGTTTAATTTAATAATTTAATGTGCACTTGCTGAATAAAAAGTATTAATTTCTCTTTTTTAAAAATCTTCCCCCAGACTTTTGAACGGTAGTGTACCATGGTTTCAATAAAATAAAATAAAATAAAAATGTAACATTGATAATCAGAAATGTTTCTTGAGCATCAATAAGCATATTAGAATGATTACTTAAGGATCATGTGACACTAAAGACTGGAGTAATGGTGCTGAAAATTCAGTTTTGTATCACAGTAATAAATTACATTTTAATATACTAAATAGAATCGTAATTATTCCAAACATCTGACTGGTAGATAAAGTACTCCCAAGAAACATGGTTAGCAGGTTGCTTTTTTTCATATCTGCCATATGCTTATAGGAGCTTTTAAAGAAACACTGCGCAGTTGCAAACTCAAAATAGAAAATCAAATGCCACAGAAAAGCTGCAGTCTTTTACGATCCAGTTTAATAATAAAAAGACTTATTTTTATACATGACACAGATTTATACATATTTGAAAACATGACGTGATACATTTTACATTTTGAAATGTTTAATATGAGCTAACAGAAATTGGGAAGGCCTACAAATGAATGAGATAAAAAAAAAGAAGAAGCATTTAATGCTGACAAAGTGATAATACTTGTGGTAATCAAACTCGGGGAATATTTGTGCTCTAAAAATCCCACAAATGAAAAGTAAAAAGAACACACAACTTTTGTAACCATGAAGAATCACCATCAGACTAGAACATAAAAATAGAAAAATGCCACAGAAAAGCTG